AGATTTTTCATATGGAACAGGGAAGTAGTCAATGGGATTACGCTCCTCCAGTGCATCCTCTTCTTCGATAGCTTCACCCTCGTCATCAAACATGATGGCGTTCTCGGGTGTGTCAACAATCCGCGCATTGGATTCGTGCGAGCCAACAATGAGAACACGCGCGGGGACGTCGTCTTTGGCACGCGGACATGCCAGTAAAATGGCGTAGCGTCCACTCCGAGGCAAGTGGTGAATAATGCTCGTCTCACGGTAGTTCGTTGCAGCGTGTACTCCGCCAATCCGGAAATCTCGATCGTCGTACAAGTACATGCCCATGTAGTCCTCAGTCATGGCATTTCCGCCTGTCTTGGGGTTTACATATGTCTTTGTTTGGGTCAAGAGGATGTGAATGTCGGTCTCTTGATCCACATAAAAGTCCACACGAGCTCTTTCTTTCTGTTGCAATCGCACATCTTTACGTGCCTTTCCATTCCAATCGATCTCTGGAATGTTTAGCCTTTCAATGACCAAGTCATCATAGTCCGTGTTAATCATTCTGTGTACCGCTAGCCAGAACTCGGACTCCAATCCCTTACGCATCGCGGAGGGTACCAAGTAGCACAACACATTGGATGGAATTATGAGGTGGTGAGAAACTTCACGTGAGTTGAAGAACAAGCTCTTATGGATAGGCTTGTGATTGTTTCCAGTCACCCACAGGGTGGGAATCGGGTTACCGTAAGTATAATGGACAAGCGTAAGGCCACATTGGACATAATTAGGTGGCTCGTCCTGTGATATGAAGCGACGTTGATCATCTTGCTTGATTGAGATCACAAGTTCTGCATCCGTTGAGGCTAGGTTTCGAATCAAATACAAGGGATTTTTACGCCACGTTACACTTGTCGGATTGCCACCGGCCGTCTCGCCACGCCATTCATCCCGGAAGTACATTGCCTGGGGTTCCACCGCCATGCAACAGAGCTGAAAGGACATGCATACTTTCAAAAAAAGTGTCAGCGGTAGGAAAATGGAGTGTGGATCATCGACTTCGTGCTTGACGCGTTGCTTGTCTGTCCAAATTTTGTCTTTTTTGTTGAGTGGACCTTTGTATTCATCTTCCTCAAAAGGATCATACAAACGTACAACAATATCATTTGCAGATGAAGTTCCTGTCAAGGAAAAAACCTCTAGAATGCCATATTGTTGCTCTCGTTGCATTCCGATAGAGTCTAAGTCCATGTCATTCATAAGAGTGGAGGCCACGTAGTAACCACGACTAATCTTCAAGGACAGGTCTAGCCAATACGCGCCTTCCGCAACATCG